TCAATCTCTTACTCTTCCAGAAAGGAATTAAAGTCTAGACTTTAATTCCAAAAGCATATATTTGTTGCTATGTAGAGAGTAAAGGGTAATGGGGTTATGGTAACAGGCCAGCTAAAAAAGGGTGGTAACTTACACTACAGAAGTGGTGATGGGATGACTTAAATACGTTGGATTTCAGATATATTTCTGAAATAAAGCTGAAAGAATTTTCTAAGCAATTTGATTTTTGATGTGGAAAAAAAATGAGTCAAGAATTACTTTTTTAAAAATCTGAGCAAATGAATATATAGATTTGTTATTAAATATTATGGGAAAACCTAGGAGAAGAACATGGTTGGGAAAATGGATTTCAAGTTTGGATTGGGGCATGTTAATTTTGCCCTGTATAGCATTTAAGAGATTATTCAAGTGAGTAATTTAAGCAAGATGATGGAATTGGAGATGCAAGTTTTGGAGTTATCAGTGTATAGGTAGTATTTAAAACCATGGCACCAGAAGATATCACTTAGAAAGAAGGCTAGTTAGAGAAGGAGAAGGCCCATGGACAAACATCAGTCATGGACACGTTTATAGGTCAGGAATAAGAGTAATTCATAACAGGAGCCGGGGACAGAACTGTCAACTGGGTAAGTAGGTGGGAAGAATTATGATACCTCAGAAGCCAAGTGAATATGACACTTAGGAAGAGAATTATTGAGTCAAAAGTCACTAATAGTTGTCAAATATGTGGGCTTAGAATTGATCATTGGATAGGACAATATTAGCAGGTGACTTTGACAAAAGTAAATATTTTAGGAACAAAATGGTCATGAGAAACTGCAGATACAAAATGAAGACATGTCTCTTTTTGTGCAATTTCCTTTAATCAAGCTAACTTCATTTCTGTTTTTTAAGTATTTTTCCAGGTTACAAATATCTATAATTCTCCTTGACCTATTCTCTTAACTTGAAGCCCTCAGCATTTCAAAGCTTTTACAAAGTACAAGTTAAATATAATATTACATCCTCCCTGAAACTTACTACAGTCTTTACCATTCAATGAACTATACCCCTTTTTTAAGTTTCAATGGCACATTAAAACCCCATTCTGAGACTATCACTTTGTACTTTGTATTATCATCCTTGCCGAATGAAAATCATGCTGTATTATTTTTAGATTCCAGTCCTCACTAGTACCAGGCATGCCTCCGTTTGTTAAATTTGATTAAAATGCCACTCAGTGAAAGTATAATCCACAGAGAACCTAAGTTGGATCAGAATTTGTGTTAATTCTAAGATTTTTGTTAACTCTAAGTTTTTTGCTTTGTGGAAAATTTCGTTATTACCACAAAATTTGTCCAGAAACGCTAAAACTGAAGCATAATTCCTAAAGATAGGTAATAGATATTGCCCTCAACTGGTACATATTTCGGAAAAGAGAAAAGATATTTTGACTTCTTTTTTGTTTTATCTTTGCTTTATTTCTCCATATATTTTTTCTTTACTCATTAGTAAAATACGAAAAGAAAAGCCAAAGAAAGGTGTAATGTGATCAAATGTTCCCATTTCCTTAGATTGTAGTCATATAATACCCAAGTTGTGAGTAGTTTCTATGAATATGGATTCAGATGCTGAAGTTCTATCTTCCTTATAGTAGAAGATGTTTGGAAAAAGACCATCCCTTCTAGTTCACTTCAATATTACACAAAGATGAAGAAATGTTAAGATCTCAATTTTTAACGCATAGATTTGCTGAAGAATAAAAAGAAAGAAACACTCTGGAGAAACCCTTGCTTTTATTTATAGGCAAATACAGTTGGCAATTAGAACACTGTATATCCATTTAAATTCTGTACCATTTAATTGCAAATTAATCATGGTGGGCCAAGTTGGTCATGAATACAAAGAGTAATAATTATATGTGAAATTCTTTTTTACTTCAAAATGTAATTCCATAACAGTCTTGTGACAGAACTGGACTAGAGGAATTTAAGATCTCATTTAATTTGCCACTGTGAATTCTGGATCATGACAGCAAGGGTAAAAATTGCTTTTATCTATATTATTTTTGAAGTCATATAGGCTGACTATCAAATATGTCTAATGATAACTTTTGGTAACATCTAATAAAAGTAGTCAATTAGCTAATCATAAAATAGTTAAACTCATCTGGAAACAGTAGATCTAATTTTGACTGGGGGACTTTTCCCCGCACTTGTTTGTTTTCCCCAAGCACGCCTGAATTCTTCTTCCACGTGGGCGAAATGGGTTACCTGGCAAGTGTACAACATACATCTGTCCAGATTTCTTGTCTGGGCTAGAGCTAATCTATGGAAAGTTCATAAGCATAAGGAACACAAGAGCCATCCTGCCTAGGTTCAAATCCTGGCGCTGCCACTTACTCACTGTAGGACCTTGGACAACACTTTCTTCATCACTAAAAGAGGGAAGATAATATAGGTAATACTAATAACTAAATTACAGTGTTTTCGTGAGGCTTAAAATAGTTAATATATTTAAAGTGCTTAGCAGACTGCTTTCTAGATGGCAAATGGCCTGACACATTGCCCAGGTACTTGGAAAAGAGAAAGACTGGAAGATGAGAGAAAAGGAGGTCTGAGTTAGAGGCATGTGGATGGAGTATGGGCATAAAGTGTGAGGATTTTTGTGTTGTATATTAATACCCATCAGGAAGCATCTACCGTGGAAAAAGTGTGAACAACAAGACAAAATGATTCAGTTTACAAAGCCAGCCTTTGTCATTGGTCATCCCAGAACTGGCCAGAAGGCACATAAATGTTGTAGCCTCAGTAACAGAGATGGAGGCTAAAGATGGATACGACAGCAAAGTATCCTACTAACCAAGTCTATTTTATCTGCTGTTGATCTGACTGCCCAACTTGCCAGCACTGAGACTTCCGTCTCCCAGGGGAACCAAGTGTTGCACCATTCTAACAGAATACACTGGGAAGTGATGGATAATTTAAGAAATCATGAACACTGCATACACAGCACTTTGTACTTTTTGATTTAGAGTCAAGCATATATATGTTTAGGAATCCATTAATTATATACTTCCTTATTTTGCTGTTCTATTTCTGAATACACACTTCATCCTTTCAGTATGATTTTTCAACAATTCAACTACCACTAACAACTATTAATCATTTGATAGGAACTAGACATGGTATCACTTCGACTTTCTTGGAATGTTTGCCTTATCAGTTGACTAAATTTTCATTTCCTCAACATTAAGGAGGTGATTTACTTCAATGTATATAATCACTCTTATGGTAGTTTATACCAACAATAGAAGCCCACATGTCATATTATAAAATTTGTAGAGAGGATGCTAATATCATATATTTAGTGAAATTATAGCCTGTTTCAAAAAAAATTCTTGGGCTGTTACAAATACTAGTGGCTTTTATGCTGGGAATTCTTCGTGCTTTCCATCCTTGGGGTGGTACCTATCAGAAAAGTTGCTTTCTTTTCTTATTTACAGGAAATATATCTGATAACAGGAGTATTACTGAATAGAATGTATATTTTCCAATTTTTAAAAATTTTGTCTTAGATGTTAATTTAAAATTTAATCCCAAAGATGAAGTTGCATTTGTTTACTTATTCTGATGTTATAATATATATTTGCTTGTTCAGAAGATTGAGAAATTTTAAAATATGTTAATCGCCATTACAAATAGGATGGAAGCAATAAAACTTATAAGTGAATTGATCTGATGGGTACTATGGAAAAAAGGAAAATACATGAACTTACAGTAGGCGCCCTTGACTCTTTTCAGCCTGCAATAGCCATTATTTGTACATGCTTTGCATAGATCTCTTACACTTCCATAGAAACACAAAATATGGATTTTTACTAATTTTTTTAAATTTTATATGCTGACAACTTAATTTTAAGATGGTCCAAATTGTGTACCCAAAAGTATTTATCATATATATAAATTAAGTACAATATACCATACATACAATAATTATATTAAATGAACATTCAAATACGTATGAAACATACGATAATTTTTAAACACCTTTGTATCTTCACTCAATTAAGAAATAGAGCATTATCAAAACAGTTGAAGCCTCTGGTGTGCTATTCTCCATTTATTTTGCCTTCTTTTCCCAGTTCCTTATCCTAAGTAAATATTGCCCTAAATTGTAAGATTATCATTCCGTTGATTTAAATACAAGTTTAAATAAATTTTGAATAAATATAAAGAAATATTTATAAGCTAGGTGAAAAGCATAAGGAATAATAACAAATTGAAGGCTAGAGTACTTACAACAAAGTTTAAGGGAAATCATTCTGCTATCACAACTTTGAAGTTTGTGCCCCTCCCAGATTCTCATAATCCAGAATTTGGTGTTTTTATTTGCTTATTTTATAGTTTTATGGGTATGTAGGTATCCTAAACAATATCCTTTTTTGTTCCGGATTTTTAACTTCCTGTCAATTGAGCTATAAAATATGTGCTCTTCTGGAACTTTCTTTCACTATTATGTTAATCAGATTTATTCTCATTAATATCTATATTTGTATTTTAGTCATATTCACTCTTCATACTATACATTGGATAAACAAAACAAATATGTTTATCTATAGACATTTAGATTGTTCCAAGTTTAATTTGTTTATCTATTTAGTTATTATTACAATATTTCTGCTATTTACATTCATATTTGTGTTTCCTTAAACAAATATGAAATAATTCCCTAGGGTATATGCTTGGATGTACACTCAGTGGTTCTCACTGTATAATCTGTTCCTTCATCATTCATTCGTATTTTTCTTTACATACATGAAACATATGTATTTTATAATCTGTGTGTGTCAATTCCAACTTTTATAGTCTCCTTGCATAATTTTGTTGGTGGTTGATCTCTTGCTGATTCTCTAACATGGTTGTTTTTTTCCCTCTTTTAAAGTAAGTTTTTATTGAAGAATAAGCTATGTAGAGTAACATGCACAATTATTAGATATATAATTCATGATGTCTTTACAGATGTGTGCACCAATATAACCGTCACCCAGATCTAGATATAAAACATCACAAGCATCTCAGAAGCCTCCATCTTGCTTCTCTCAGTGAATATACCCTCAGTTTTATCAGTTTTCTGACTTCCATCAGTAAGTACTAAGTTTGTCTGTTTTTGAACTCCATTTAAATGGAAAAATGTAGAATGGATTCTGTGATGCCTGACTTCTTTTGCTTAATGTTTTGTCTACTATTAAATCATCCATGTTACAGTATATGTTAATAATTCATTATTTTTGCTCGAGTACGGTATTATATTTTATAAATTTACCTCAGATTATTTATTCTTCCTGTCATTGATGAGTAACAGGGATGCTTCCAGTTTTTTATTACAAATCAAGTTATTTTTAATATCCTTGACTCGTGTGTTACATACAGACACTCATTTCTCCTGAGCATATAGTAAATAGTATGATTTACTGAACCATAGAGTATATGAATTCCAATTTTAGTAGATTCTGCCAAATTGATTTTCAAAATGGTTGTAGGAATTTCTAATCCCCTAGTTATGTGTGAGAGTTCCAGGTGTGCCACTAATTTACTAATACCCACAATTTATTTATTTATTTTTAAGGGATTTTGTTGGATCTGTAGTGTTATCTCAATGTGATTTTATATTTGAATTTCCTCATGACTAAATAGTTGAGCAACATTTCAGTGATTATTAACCATTTAGATATCCTCTATTCTGAAGTGATTGTTCAAGGCTTTTACCTATTTTTTAAATGATTGGATTATCTACTTTTTACTTACTGATTTGTAGGAATTCTTTTTAAATGTTTAATGAACCCTTTTGTGGACAAGTTTAACATATATAAATTCTTTATTATGTGTGGTTAAAGAAATGGATCAAAGTTTATTTTCCTCAAGCAAAAAGAGGAAGATTGCAACAGATGTTAGCTCAGGGCCAATCTTCCCTACAAAAAAAAAAAAAAATTCCTTTCCCCACACACTGCAATGGCACCTATGCTGTCAATCAAGGCAACATATGGGAGTGCATGTTTCTAGTCTCTCTATTGCCAACATATTTTGTTATTGCTGATGTTTGTGGTATTTTTATTTTCTTATTTCACTGTTGTATTAAGTCATATTTGAAGGTATGTTAGCTCTTGGAATTCTTTAAGGTGTTTATGATGGTGTATTCTCTCTCTCTCTCTCTGTCACTCCCTCCCAAACAGATTTTTAAAACATTTTTATGAAATCCCAATTGTCCGTACTTCTTTTTCATAGTTAGATTTTTTTGTGTTGAATCTAGGAAATTGTTTCTTCCAGTATGGTTATTCCAGATGTCTTGTCTGCTAGATAGATCAAACTATGACAAATATTTTGTCTGAGCAAGTACCAATAAAAGCGCAGAAGGGGGCCAGCCTGGTGGCACAGCAGCTGGGTGGGGACATTCCAATTTGGCAGCCCGGGGTTCACCGGTTCCAATCCCAGGTGCGGACATGGCACTGCTTGGCAAGCCATGCTGTGGTAGGCATCCCACATAGAAAGTAGAGGAAGATGGGCATGGATGTTAGCTCAGGGCCAGTCTTCCTCAGTGAAAAGAGGAGGATTGGCAGCAGATGTTAGAGCAGGGCTAATCTTCCTGAAAAACAAACAAATAAAAGCACAGAAGAACCAAACAAAATAGGTCTGTAGACCATATTTTAATTCTATTTTGTGAGCGATATAGTCATATTGAGTAAAGTTTATGTTTCATATGTTTATGTAAATATCACATAAATACTTTCTTCATTATCTGATCAATCATTAAAATTATAATTCTTATATCCAAACAAAATATTCTGAGTGTGTGATGAGATCATGTTTGTATTCTGCATGCACACAATCATATAATTCAAAGCCTTGAATATGAAACTTAAAGAATTTACCTAAATATTAATTTTTTTAAATATTGACATATTTCAGGTTAAATGTAGTGCTATATAATCCTTGTTAATATAGGCATAAAAGAGATAATTTTGGATTTGTTGCTGTCTTCAAATTTTAATAAAAGAAACCTTAGTTTGGTTTATATTACTTAAAAACCATCTTTCTCCTATTTCTTATTGATACCAATAATAAGTGTGGGTACTATCAGATTATTTTATGACTCGAGAAGAAAAAAACCTAAAAATTTTATGAGCTTTAGTTTTTCTTAAATTTTCATAGAACTTAAGTGAGCATAAAGTAATAGTTCAACAATATCCTGTGAATTAATTTAAAATTGAAGCCTATCATAGTCATCAATGAAAAAGTACAAAATGACATCAAATCATTTATATTTATTTTTTAATCAAAGGTAAGACTTAGTAACTCTATTCTCATATGTAATAAAGGACTATTCTGGTATCTTCGGAAAAATTATACAATCATATTTGTGAATCTACATATTTTACTAGCTAACAAGCTACCAATTGTATTTGAAGATCTTTTTCCCCAAGAAGCTAGTCCAATCTCTAAAAAAGGTCAATTAAGACAATCACCAATGTCACATAACTTTATTACACTAACGATAACACTTGTTTTTAAGCAAATCACTAATAAACCAAACACATTCTACATGCAAATTGGGTCTATAACATGGTCAAATAGAATACTTGTGTATTCATACACATAAATATGTATTTAAAAATTTATTAAGGCGAAAAGAGCTAAAAATAAAGAGGAATTCAAGGATTTGAAAGCTACATATGAGAAAAAAGAATTTTTTAATGCTATATGAATTTGAATTTATTTCATAACATATGCATATGAATTTGGGTCATAATACTTCAAATATCCAGATACATATTTTTAATGATTCATAATATTTATAACTGAAAAAAATCCATAAAATGAACAGAGTGTGCTGCTAGTACAATTTCATCCATAACATGGGTCATTCCAATGATGGTGATTTTTATGGCAAGTCATCATGAGTTTCTCCTGGAGTGTCTAGAATTTCATGTGACCCCTCCTTATATGCCTGCTGGAAAACAGATTACTTCTCCAAGTGTAAACAGTGAAGATGTTAAAGGTAATGGTCATTATACTCACTGGTTATTACCAGCTTTAAACAATAAATACTTAGAAGATATGAAGTTTGGTAGCATTTTTCCTAATACTTAGAGAATATTTACTACTTATAATATATTGTATTTATAATATATTTCACTAGTACTTATATAATACTTATATATACTTATATAATTTATAATATATTATGTTTATATTTATAATATATTTTCCTAGTACTTAGAGAATACCTCTTGTCTGAAAATCAAAAATTGTTTCCAAAATATAATCATCAAATAGCAAGTTAATAAGTATTTTATTTATATTTAAATAGATCTATCTCACATAATTGTGGTCCAAGATAATATAATTACTCTTATTATACTAATAGTAATAATTATACTACTAACAATATTGTTTTGGACCACTAAAATATGAAAGATAAAATTTATTTAAATATAAATAACTATTAATATGTGCTTTCAAATAGATTTTTTCTCACAAAGTATGTCTCTATAGAACTAAACTAAGTGGATTCAGATAAAACAGCTTGTCAATAGATTTTAGAGTCAAGCTTTGTCATGTGTATCAATGTAGGCAAGTATTAGTATATGTCAATACCAGGCAATAGATTTTATAATATAGCAACAAAATTAGAGGGATTTTTTTATTATTATAAGAAATATGTACAGTCCAAATGGACTCTGTATTTATTTGGACTAAACTATGCCTTACGGAATTGATTTTTTTGGTTGAAATTTATTTCCCTTGTCTTCAGAAGGCCTGTGTTATTCAAAGAAATAATTTAAAAGCACAGTAAGAAAAATTAACTGGCAGAGCATATAAGCATTGACTTTTCAAATAATTTTCAGAGGCTATGCCTATACACTTCAAATAAAATGTTTAAAAAATAGATAAAAATGGAAAAATTGCCTCATTCCTTGATTGCATTGCCATGAAACCATCTAATTCCACTGATTTTTCTATTCTCCTGAACAGACTACCTATTGGGATTTCCTATTTGCTCTAGACTAGACCTGATGAACAGGAGCTTTCAGAAAGATTACAGCTGACAAGACCTTGGAGAAGGGCTCTTCAGGTGTCCAGATTGAACTTGTCTCGCTTTTATACCTGGCATAATAGCGCGAAGAAGTCTTTTGATGTCATTGCGCCAGAGATTGCAGCGACAGCATTACTGGCATTGCCCCAGTGGGTAGTAATGCATCAGCCAACCATTACTAGAGAAACAGGAATGAAGAAGGAGCCTGAGGATGCAAGTGCGGTGGTGGTAGTTGTTCAGTTTCACTTTGGGAAGCAAAACACTGTAGCCATCCTTTGCTTTAAAACTTTCTGTTGTGTCAGTTTCAACTGCTTATTCATCGGGGTTATTATCTGAAAATTTATTTTTAAAATAAACAATGTAAAATTCTATTTGTGGAGCAAATTTATTACATGTATACCCATTTGCATGAACACTTTTGGAAAATGGTTATTTCATGGAATCATACTTTTTCAATGCCAAGTTACGTTTTGTTTTGTTTTTGTGTTGTCAAAGCAATGTCAATAATGTGTATTCACATACTTGCTTTAAAATTAAATTACATATAGGTAACTTGCCTAGCCTTAACTTTCTAAAAAACATCTTAACTACTATATCTAGACAAAAATTACCCATATCCTTCAATCTTTACTAAGTTTTGATATTCATATGATTCACCCACAATTCACAACTTCCATAAGTGAAATTTCTTTATGCTTTATTTATAAAGCCTTGTCTGAAAACTTGGAAGTTAAGATACAGGTAATGTACAGTTTATAGAAGAAAAAGAAACATTTGAGTATTACGCATTAAGAGCATTTTTGACTTCAAATAAAACCTAAATATTCTAATTACTCTAAACAGAGTCAGGCAACATCCTGAAAGCTTCTTCATGGAGTTGTAATGTTTTATGAAGAATTTTATATCCCATGTGTTGTACTGTCACATCCTTCTGATATCAGTGTGGATGGGATGCAGAAGGAGTTCATGAATTTAGAGTGTCACAAATATACTACCTAGATGACATCTCATAAATCTCCTTCTTATATCAGAAGGGTAAGTCAGTTCTGTTTTATTATATGTTTATTAGTGATACCAAAATGTATTGCATAATTCATGTTTTTTGGCCAATAGTTTTTAGAATTTCATTGTACACAATTTAGCAATATACATATAATATGCATGAATTGTTTCCCGATTGCCTTGGTAAATGCACAATTTATAACTAGGCACTTAGAAAATAATGGCTTTTTTCTGTATATGTAACTGTATAAAATATTTCAGAATCTCCAGTAGACTTTCAAATATTAGTGTTTCATTGGAATTGTCATGGCTTAAAATGGCAGCCCAGATTATTTATTAAATGAAACAGAAAGACATATCATTACAAATATTTGTTTTTGTGTGCTTTTTTTACAAAACTTTAATTATAGTACAATGGAAACAGTCCATCAAACCAAACTACATTGGCAATGGGTGCAAGAAGTCAAGAACTGCCATAAGTCCTCAAAATATTGAATCAAGCATATAAAATATAAAAAATTCCTGCAAATTAATGTATTTCAGAATTTTACATTTTGCATATTATGTAATATCCCTATCAGATTCTGGGTAGCTTGATATTATTATTTCTCAGTAACATATGTGAATGTTCATCCCAAGGGGGAGTAATGAACTGTATAAGAAGCCTGTGTTAGCTTGGGTTGACATAGATTTTGCCAGAATGTGCTGCCAAATGAGATATAAACCAGCTTTTGATTTTAAACATTTTTCTATTTTAGATTTGCAAATAACACTATCAGAACTAAACTGGGTTATACAGAACAGAAACGGTCTCAAAATAACTTAAGTAAACAGCAGAATTTACTGTAATAAATAGTGAAAGTATACGGAAACCAAAGAGCTACGCTTTAAAGGTCACCGGGAAGGGAATCTTACTGAGATGCTCTTTGAGTATCTTCTCGTTACAGTGCAGGAGAAGAGCATTCACTTGTGTCTTTTAATTAAAAATCCAGGGAGAAATTTAAGTTTGTTATATGAAAATAGAGTGCACTCAAAAAAGAAGTTCTGGCTATTGATAATCTATCAGACCTAAAAATAATCCTCCACCTCTGTTTCACTTACAAATATTATATTTTGGGGATTAATGTATATACATTTCTAAAAGGAAGCATCAGGCATTGTTAATTTGAGAACCAGACTCCATAATTTGGTGAATGCGATACTGCCTGTCTTATGGAATCACAAGATTTATTTCTGCATGGCGTTTTGTAGACGATGTGTTAGTACCAGAAACATTCAGAAAAAGAAAAGTGTGGTAGAAACAAACAAACATGCTATGATATTCTCTTGTATGATGTGGTAGTTCACAACAAATTTTTTCTTAATAATTAATCTCGAGGGAACTAAATTTTACACACTGTGCACTAAAATATGTCCTGAGTGTAATGAATTATTTTTCAAAAACACAAAGGAATAACCACTAGTCTAACCTACTAGTAAAAGCAACTACTAATATAACTACCAGTATAATATAAAAATAAAGACTACTCCATCATTTTTAGTGTAATAGATTATTTATACTTAGAAAAATATGTATATTAGTTCAGAATGACTAATGACAAAATAGGTTTTAGAAACACTGTTAATTTGTAGGTAAAGATGTAAAGGTAGACGTTTCGTAAGAACAGCTCATTTTAACATGAGATTTGTTAGAGAATTCATTAGAATGAAGACCAGAACTAGCCAAAACAGTTCATATTACCTGAAGTCAATTGATCTTGTTGATTTTAAGACTAAAAAGCCAGATCAAATGCAAAAAGAATTTTGTTCAAAATACCATTTAACTCAATGTATTCACTTAAGTATGTTTTATATTATTCCCTAGAATTTCATATGAAGAAGCTAAAAATAAGAGTAATGTGATTTGCCCATTATCACACAGCTAAAAGCTGTAGCAATGACGTCTGAACTCATGCCTTCCAGGTACAGGTCATTCCTCTTTCCATAATACAACGTGAGCCAGTATAAAACACAAATGCCTATGTTTTCTTTGGAAAGAAATTTGGTTAACATTTGTTATGATATCATGGGAATTTAACATAAAAAATAAATAGTAAAGTAGGAACTGATATTCACAGACTTGATCCTCACCAAAGTCTATAACTATGGAGGACTTCATTCAGTTAGAAAAGAAAGGAGGTGTATTTAATAAAGAGGTGTTTGGCAAAGATATTTTTAAGTGTCGATATTACTGGTCGCCTACAAAGTACTTTACATAGAATAAGAGTTAATGTTAAGTATAATCTCGTGAGATAATTATTTTGTTTTTCTCTTTTCCACAAAAGAAAATGAGTTGCCTGGAGTTACTTGCACATAAGGAATGGAGAAATCATAATTCAAAACCAAGCTTGTTTGACTGCAAAAGCAGGGCTTTTGTCATTACTTTACATTGTTACTAACTATCCATTTTCTTATACTAACTTTGTAAACATAACATCAATCTTTGATGGCCTGAAAATAATTATTTATATAAAGTAGTTTAGGTATGTCTTCACTTTAGAATTGTGGCTACTGCTGATTTTTTTCTAGTGCCTTTATGTAGGAATTAATATATAAATGCAAATTTTAGTATAATATACTAACAGTGCTTTGATTATGGAATCAGCAGGAAATGAGCACAAACATACTGCCTCCCACATTCAGATACAAATGAAAGAGAATTTCCAAACTCAGCTTCATTGGCCTCTGTTTCCATGCTGCTTGTCCTTCTCTATACTAAATAAGTTACATACAATTTATTATTCTTTCCTGTAAATTCACAGCTAGGATTTGAAGTGTGCTTTAGAATACTAAATCGCTGTCATGGTTTTCCAACTATTTCTGAGTCACTTCTCTGATGACTTGGAAAATGTATTACATTGCATTGAGATTTTCAGTTCAGCAACTATTTCTGCAGAGTCAAGTGGCTATTCACTTAAGTTCCACAAAGAGTTGTCTACTGATTACTGAGTGTAAATTAGCACATCATGATGAATATAAGCTATTGTTTCTCATAACGTTTATTACAGGTAACTCTTAAACTTATGATGTTGGATCTGTGTTTCAACAATGTCAAGAAGCACAAAGATATCAATCACTCACTACTCCAAAATAATGCTATTTGTAAATTGAGCAACACACAACTTGACAAAGAAATACTTCTGCTATTGTGAAAGTCAAGAGGTTCAACAACTACTCCTATGGCTAGGTCTGACAAGTGCATTGTTTTTAAGGATAGACCTATGCTCCTAATCATTTCAAGTATATGCAGTGCTGGAATCTATTGCTGAATAAATATGCGTGTATGAATGTGAAATATAATACAAATTCAGCTTGAGTGAATGCCAGATTGCGTTGTACCATTTCTATCAAAAATTTTTATATTATAGAACCTCTCTGGTCTAGCTCATCTAACTGATCATATTTTACCAGTAGGTATTCAACATCTCCAAACAGCTGGCTTCTTGATATGGCTATGAAAGTACACCTGGAGAGATGCTTTTGAAGAATTCATGTCGTTAACTCATCTGACCCTTAGAGGAAGGAATGAATGAATGGAGAAAACATCAATCAATGTTTTAATAAATGAATAAAAGAATGGAATATAGGCCACCACTGAGTTATTTTATACATTCTTCATGAAGCCTATTTCTACATAGCTCTCATTAATGTATTAATAAAAGTTGTGAGTGATGACTTGAAATATTTCTTGCCTTAAAATGATTAAATAGCAAATCGTGAATTTATGTATTAAGTTTACTACACTAAAGAAATATAACGATTGTTCCATAATCCTTGATTGATAGCCAGAAATAGTTTCAAGGATCATTTCAATATACAATGTTCTTCTTCTTTTCAAAATGGGTACAATCATTTAGGTTTTAATTATAAAATTCTTAGACAATATCAGTTATGTGTCAAGTGTTTTCAGTACGTATGTTGTTAAATTCATTTTTTCCCCAGGAAACAGATTTGCTTTTAACTAAGACGTGTTTAAGAAATAAACGTAAAGGAAAACTGACTATCATTGTCAGAATCTTGTTTTCTTTAAACAAATGATCAGATTTTAATAATAATTTTCTTATAATAAAACATTTCAAAAAGAGTTAAAATTGAGTATCAAATTTGCATCAGTAAAGTGATAGTTTAAGCAGAAAAATATAAACAAATTTTGGATATTTTATTGATCAACACATACTGGATTCTAATAGGGTTATTATTTCTAGACAGGAAAAAATGTTCCTAGTCAGGAAAAAAAATTGAAAAAACATTTCAATTGCATAGACATAGCCATCCCTACTTTTTACCAGATGTGTGACCTTTGACAGCTCCCTTCACTTTTCTGATATCCAACTCCTTCTTCATGTGTAATTGGGCATAATACTCACCTTACAAAATAAGGATTATATTTTTAGTAATGTGTGTAAAGTATCTAGCATAAAGCCTGGGACATTGTAGATTCCCATTAAGTGTTAATAACTATGGAAACAGACTAAAATGATTTTCTGACTAATTGGGGCCATAGGCCCTTTATCATCAAAAATACATTTAAGCTAATTTTCCACAGGATAACAACAGATTCATGTTGACCACTATAAATAAAATATTCACAGTGTGATTTATCTTCAAGAGAATCACTAAAACCACCTTTTTGAAAACCACATTATGTTGATTTTTGTGGGTAAAAGCTTTAAATGACTCCTGGGAAATATAAAATAAAGGAAATAAACATTTTAATTCAGCCACGAATGCTGAACTAAAATCATCAGGCACCTTTAGTCCTACAATGGAAGAACCTGTGGGATGGTTTTTAGTATCGCATCACCTATGGTGTGATTGCTGGGCTTACTGGATAGCATATTAAATTATATGCTCTCTTACTTAGGCCTGTCTGTCATGGAGATAGGTGAGTTTTCTCCTAGAGCTGGGTATCTCCTAGATGGCTGTCAATCACCCAGAAGAGATTTACCCTCATATGGAGACGGGGTCTAGAAAGGAGATCAAGGGCTTAGAGACAGGTCTTAGATTCTTGGGCCAACAGTTCCACAAAGGGGATTATTGCTGTCACAGTTTGATGAAAAGCAAAACAGAAAACAGCTTGTAGACCGTGAATTGGATGTTACTTTTCTTCGTTTTCACTTTGGTGCTCCTTTTTCATTCTGGTAGGTTTGTTCAAGAACTCAAACCTTGTCTCAGCTATGCTGCAAAGCAAATGGGGACAAGACGTCTAGGTTCAGGGAGAATGTGACCGAAGGGAGTGTACCTCAGACGAGCAGGAGAGTGGCAGCAACAATTTACTAAAAACACTTCATTCTTCAAGAGACAAGTTTAACTTCTGTGAGATATGATTAATCAGCACAGTAATTCTTAATTTATTTGTAAATGTTAGGAATTTGGTATTTAATATTTTCGTTGTTAGATTGACCACTTCTAGAATAAAACAACAAAAAATCTTCTTGTTAATATACATTACATTGATTAAATACAAAAAATACTGCATATTCCAGGGAGGGATTGACAAAAGTATAATATCCATGTTAGAAATTGTGCTACATCTTTGGCCTTCTTTGTATTAGGTGAGATTTTAAGTTTATCATACAGAAATCATAATTTCTTCCAATTATGCCCAGTGAAAGTTTGACAAAACAAAATAGTTCACAAGTCAAACTGAAGATCTCTTGCTTTCAAGTTCCTAAAATTATGACCAGAGCTACACATAAGAATAAAAAATCATTACAAACAATATAGTTACTCTTCTTTGAAAAAAGTACATGTTTAAAAATATTTTTAATGTATTTAAATTTCTGGCAAAATTATAATGATTGTTTAAAAGTGATTCCATTCTGAAGACAAAGCAATTAATAAAGCATAAGATAGGAAAATTAAAAATTATGAGCAACATCTTCAAATAAAACCAGGTAATAAATTATCTCTACTGTATCTGTATATTGTTGATAGGACAAATTAACAACAGATGTTTCCTGTAAGACCCACACATTAATAAATAACAAATTTTTAAAAATATTTCAGTAGAAAAGTTTCTTAATTAATATTTAACTACATAAATGTGTGCTCTGTCAATCATTCAGGCAGATGAGTAATACAAGGAAATATCCAATATAAATGTCATAATTTATGTTCACTAAGGTAACCATAAAATGCATAGATATAAACACACAGGGCTGTGTAGCACCTTTCACCCTCACTTCTGAGCATTCTTGTATAGAATTGTGTTCTATGTGGGCAAAGCATCAACTTGAAGAAAATGGCTCAAAGTACTTTTCAAATTAAGCAGGATGGGAACACTGGCAATAAGGAAAATGAGTTTTAGCATCTAGTAAGGAGTATAAAGAATTTTGATCTCAGCTTTATGGAAATAGTTATATAGACAGGCTTAATATTCCTAATATTTTGTACTAAATGAGTGCCCTCAAGAAGTAAAGATGGAAAAACTACCCTGGCTTACTCTCAACTCCAATATAAGAAACTTCCACTAAAAGGTTATATATGAAAACACTATTCTATAGAGAAGGAATATAAAAATTTTTGATTGAACTCTATATAAAATATTTAATAAAATTTATAAAAAACTAAATATGTACTGAAAAATAAAAAAGTTAAACAGAATGAGATTATATGCTAATATTATAAAATTAGCTAAAAGAAAGAAAACTATAAAGGTCAAAAAAACAACAGCAATATAAATATAAATATAAAAGCTAGAAATGTTATAACTGATGAATGGAGGATATGAATATATAATTGGCAGAGTTCAAAAAAACCAACAACAAAACTCCTCAGAAAGGAAGTCTTAACTAGAGTAAATAAATACCACAGAAATTACAGTAAAGGAACTAGAGAAAATATAGGAGAAAAAGACGTTAATGAAACAGAAATAAAGACAGGAAATGGATTTATGGAAAAAAGGTAAATATAGAAAACAGTCAAAGAAGATCCAGCATACCTATTATTGGAGGTACCAAAGAAATAAACCTAAGCAATAAAAATAAATAGGTAGATTATAAATAGATTAATAAATGAACAAGTAGATAAATTAATGAATAGATAAATGAATGAATAAATAAATTTTAAGAAAATTTTCCTGTAATAAAAATACTACAATTAAATTGAAACATTGAACTGGAACTATATTGAGAGAGTACACTATATATCCGTAAATATTTACTCAGAACAATAAAAGCTGAGGTATATTATAAAAAAGAATAATAATGAATAATAAGTTAAAAGCTGGAAAGTTATTTGAACATTCAAGAGACCCAAGTTATTAATTAGGAGAAAAATTATATTTGGTATCAAAATTTGAACAGCAAAACTTCATGACAGACACAAGGTAGCAATGTATTTAAGTTATGCATGAAAATAAAAAAAGTGAACCAAAGTTTTATATCCAGTTCAATTTACCTTCAAATAAAAGTACATAAACAATAATGAGTACTAAAAAAAACAAAAACAAAACCTGGAATACAATTCTTTTCAGTGCTTTTGAAGAACCTACTAGAGTACAAGCCTTAGACAACCAAGAAGTCCTTGGTGACACTATGTTGTAACGTCTGGAGCTGAGCATTGCATATATAATTGTATATACTAAGACTCTTTATGACAATAAAGGCTAATTCCTGCAACCAGTATAGTAAATCCTTTCTTTACCTGTTGGTCCATGGGCACAAGTTACCCAAAGTCACCATGTGATACTCATGGCTTCGGGTTCAGTGGCCACAGTACTGTGCTCACTTTTGTAAGTGTCCTCATACTTGAAAACCAGGATCTCTGATCCAACAAAAACTGAACTTGTGGGGCCAGGAAGCTCACATTTTGAAACTGCGTTATTGAAGAATGAAGGTGAGGAGGTCACTCCTATCATCATTCCCTATTTCTCAGGTCCTTGTATTCTAGCCATTGAGGGCATGAGACCAAAGTAAAAAAACAAATTTGTTGCTCAAATATTGCTCTGTCCAGTAAAAGAATATTCTCTGATGACTATCAGACTCCCCCAGATTAGAACTGTACTGCACTGGCCTTCGATTTTTGGCTCACATAATATAATAAGCAAATCCGGAGGTGAATGTGGTTTTGTTGTTTTGTTTTTACTCCACCTTCTGGTCTTAGGGAATCATTCATCAGGCAATAGGTGCAAACTGAAGAATCAGTACAACAGAGATAAAGGCCTGAGTTAGACCATATGCTTAGTTCACTTACTTATTCTCTCCAGACCTGCTTGCGCCTGAACACGAATGTATCACAAACATTATAAGATGAATTTCTGCTTAACCTACCTTATCTTCTGAAAATACACAGCTCTCCTGTTTGTTTGTTATCTCATTGCCTGGAGCTCAGTCTCTACTAGGGCCAAGTTGCTCATGAGGAGCTGTTTCCCAAGTAGCAAGTAGTTCTCATCTTGCTCCAGAGCTCTAGTAATTTGTAGTTCTCTTCTTGGTGGTCACCAAAGACTCCACACAGCATCTTTTATCAACCATGAGTAAGTCTATTATCAATGGATCTGCTGGATCATATAGCCAAAACTTTATGGCAGATTAGAGCATATATCACAGACTGGACTTGCTCCAAAGGCTTCTCTTGCCCTGAGTCCAAATAGAAACTGGCAGTCTCCTGAATGGGATGGAGCAGTATTACCCAAAGCAACATATGAAGATTCCAAGTCAAAATTCACTCTCAGTGAATTTTAGGGGACAATTTGCAACAGCTAATTCTTTACCATGTAGGGGGGTCCCAACATGGGCTGGTTCATTAAATCCTTAAAAGCTTTGCTTATGTAAGAGATGCCTAAATGTTGATATTGTTTATGGTTTATATCTTGCCCTCTTGCCAGCACGTGTCTTCCAAAATACCTGGAGTAACTTGTAGATTTCTGACCATCAAGTCAATTAGCATGACCTGGTCACTATAGTATACCAGTGTGATGTTCTACATAATATAAAAAATTAAAAGTCCCCGTAAACTGCAACATAGAGAAGAAGGGAGTTAACACAACATTAGG